TGGATATGAGTATTTTAAATTGCAATCTACTTAAAACAAAAAGATACTATAGTAGCATTAAACTACTTAAGTAGGCTATAACGGATTCCTAAGAACTGAAATTTCCAGGGCCAAGGAGGCTCGTTTAATGGGGTAATAAATGTAAGCTTTTGGAATCTCTTGGACCCATGGCAGGAGGAAAAGGATGAACACAATCTATTTCTTACCTTGCTACAGATTTCCTTGGTGAATCTAAATTGTAAAATGCTCTGACTCTTCCTGCCTGCTCTTGGTTTTTTCCTGAAGATCATCTATCTCAGCAACAGCACCTCTCGCTGGAGAGCTGCAATTCAGGCCTTTTGTGTGGCCGCATACCACCGCAGAGAACTGTTACACCTCATGCAGCTTCTGAGGGAAACTCATGTTACTACCCTCGGGCAAGAGGCTCTCATGTTAACTTTCTCCCTCCTTTAGCCGCACCACAAGTGCAGCACACAGATCTATATAAGGGCTTGTCCCTAACCAATGTTTATCTGCCCATGTTTTTTAAGTGAGCAGGGGAAACCTCAGGCAGGATGCAGATACTTGTATTAACATATTTCTATATAACAACATATTCTATGTATTGCCAGTGCAACCACACACTGCATGAGTGGACCACACCTTGCAGAGGGACGGCAGCCATGATGTGCCTTACTGGACTTTGACAGGCATATCTGTGATGATACCTGTCCTGGAAAGACTTACAAAACAATGACAGACAGACAGACAGCCCTCTCTGGTGAAGCAGACTTTGTACACAGACACGGGCAGGCTAGTTTCTGACACACAAGATGCCAGGGCGCCTCCAGGAGAAATAGAACCATGAGTTCTATCCTAGGGTAACCCAAACAATTTCTGACATCCACTAAAACAGCACCTCACTCAGGAATGGAATGGCTGTTTGAATCGTGAAAGACCTTTGCTGTCGTGACACACATCAGCACAACAAATTACTATAAAGACTATTCCAAATGTGGAGTCAGTTCCAGTTTTGCTTCCCTCTACGCTCTTTTGCAGACTGCCCGCTCAAATTTGCTGGAATGGGCCTTTGGTGGAGAAGATGTGGGGGCCACTTACCATGGCGAGCCCAAAGGCAAGTTTCTTACATGCATACACAGAGTACTGATCAACACATGCACCCTGCAAACATTTGAAACTCTGAAATTCAACTTGGGTCACAAAACAACTCTGCTGAGTGCTGAAAATCACACCAGAAGAAGGTTCGTGGATTGGACTGGGAAAACCAAAAGAAGACAGAAGACCATAAAGTCACCATCCAAGAAGCTCAGTCATCATTACTGTCTGCTTTTAGCTGCAGCTCTGGTGACACATTTATTGTCCTGCTCAGAGAGGATCTGGAGGGGTAGTTGCTCCACTCCTGGTGCAGTCCTGTTGGCTGGCCGGACAGCACAGCCAGGGGACACTTGGAGACTGTGTGTGCTGCTGAGTTTCAGACAGCCAAAGTGGGCAGGAAAGCAGTGGAATAAGGCACAAGTGTGCCTGTTGCCGTGCCTTGTGGACAGATGACCGATCAGCTAAATGCCTCTAGCACTCCATAGACACACGCATGCTCAGTCTGAGAAAAGAGGGGATGTCTCGACCTCTGGTTCCTCCCCAGTCAGACTGCACTGTCACAGCACTCCTGGTACATCACAAGACCAAAACTTCCACAGACAAAAAATCTGGCTGCTAAGCTGACATTGGCAGTGTGACTGCCTTTGTGTTTATACCCACGGAACAGAGTAATAACATTACCTGAGCTCATTGAGCATTTTGGGGTAAACACTGAACACCAAAAATTGTAAGATCATTTCCTTAAATGAAGAGAGATTTACAATTTGTTATGATAATCATTAAAGTAAATAACAAAAAATTTTTTGTTTTGTGAAATTAACTGTTCACCTTTGGTGAGTTTTGTCAGCACTTGGCTGCTTTCCTTGCTCCTAGTAAAATTATGAATACTCTGTGCAGAAGTTGAGAAGTATATTTTGTGCAAGACACAATTTTGTGCTCTTGTTTTTCTTTAACAGTTATAAACAATGATTTGATTTGTGACATGCTAATTTTCAGTTCCTTCAGTATGTTATGCCCCACGCATGCTTTATGAGGTAACCCGTAGAACATTAGCAAGTTCCCATTCGACTGTCGGCGTAGGCCTACGTAAAACTCAGGACTAATTTTAGCATTTATTGGAACACGCTACTAGAAAGAAAAGGTCAAATGTGCTCACAGGAAGGCAGGGCCAATTTGATTTTCTGGGTTGAATCCGTTTCTCCCTCGCAACAAGTGACACTTTCCTCCACCCATTCCTGTCAACCAGAATAAATCTGAGCAGCAATATCTGTTTAAGAGGAGGAATTTTGTATACACTTCTCATGTTGTAAAATATTCCCTCTTCCCCAATATATTCAAGACAGTCCTTTGCTATTCAGGGAGGAGAGGGGAATGCATTGACACAGTACCTGTGCTATCTGTGCTGTTAACACTGCAGACAACATTCTCAGCTGATTCTAATATGAGATACCTCTCTTTCACTGAAAAAGAGTCATAAGATTTTTTTCAGCAGTACTTATGGCCCCTGCCCCAGGGGGAAAATTAGCTCCTCTGTTTCAAGCCTATGGAGGCAGCTGGGAATGGCCACTCCCTCTGTGGAACTCAAATCCTTTCTGCCCTTTCTCCATTTGCTTAGAAAAATCCATCTTGCAAGAAGGAAGAAAATAATCTATCTGTTCCACATGGGCCTTCAGAGAAAGTCTTTGGCTTCTGAAAACAAAACACTTCCAACACCTTTCCTCTCAATACTTGAGAGGGAGTCTGTACCCCAGAAAATAATTTTTCTTCTCAAAGACAAAAAAAGTACTTGCCAGAACAAGGAGTTGCTCTCATGGGCTAATCAGACATAATCTTCTTCCCATTAGTCAGTTTCACAAGAAATATCTCTGAATTTGAAAGGCATACTTCATAATGAGAGAGACAGTAACAATTTGGAGACAAGCAAACTGAACAGCCTCAAGCTTGCTTTCTGAGGGCACTTCACCAAGAATAAAAACAAATGTGGAAAATACTTATCTTGGCGAATATTGAGGCAAGTATCTACCTGTGATACAGGGACTTTCAGGCAATAGAACAGGAGGCGTAGGGAAATGCAGGAAAAATAGATCAGTTAAGACAACCTGAAGGCTTAATTACTAATTCATATTCTTAATGTTACATAGTGTCCTTAAAATTATCTCCCTGCATGATTTATCAAGGACTATCAAAAAGTTTTACAGATAACACTTAAAACAGTTAAATTGCTATGATCAGAAGAAAAGGTTTCTCCCAGAGAATTTCACTATCAGAGACTGAATAGGCAAGAAAACCTTATGTGGGAAACCAACACAAGGTGTTGTCTCAGATACCATAAGTACCAAATAGTCTCAGATACTGTTTAATAATGTTTCATTTGCAATTCTCAGAAATGCCCAGAGTTAGGAAAAATGGCTTTCAGTGATTCATTTACACGATGAACATCACTTAAATTTATCCTTTATTTATCCTTCGGCAGCAGCACTACCTAAATCCTCGTAGGGGAAACAATGTGGAAAATTCTCAACATCTTCACTTTGAATGTCATGTGATCTATGCATTAAGCAGAAAAACAAAAGTTGGCAAAAGCAGGTAAAATTATAAGTCCCAGATTTGCACTAGCTAAGCTGTCTAACCTGGGAATAATGAATACTCTATTTCATAAGGAAAAAAAACGCTGCACGTTTTATACTCTCAGTGTCTTCAATGGAAATAAGAAAGTGTCGGTTTTCTTCTTAAACCTCACCTGAAATTTCCTGAAGCCTCAAACTAAGGAAGTTAATTTGGAAGAATAAATATTGTTTTCAACAGTTACAGAGAGGACAATTCTGTTTTCGAAAGCATTTATAAAATAGTGTTACCAGATGCTTATTCGATGTAATACAAACAATATACATGAAGTTTCTTTTTCTCCCTCTTAAGAAATACATTAAAATTCCTTGGGTTGTGTCAGATTTTCTGCTTCAAAAGTAATTTCTCTTTTTCTCTCTCAAATGCTCTCAAAAGGCACCAATGACAGTTACTATGGACCAAACAGAAAATGTGATGTGATTCAAAGTTTATCCTATGGGGTATGTCTTAACATAAACTCAAAGGAAAAGAATGCTTGGGTTACATTGGGTTACAAATTTCTGAAGTAACACAGGACCTCTCAAACTAGTCCTGAAATGTGTTGTCATTGATACAGTATTACTGTATTTTCATATATAGTATTATATGTATGCATACGTTTTTGGAGAAGAAAACTTTACAGGGATTCTTAAGTATCCCAATTATGTTTTTATTATTCATTTAAACAGACTTGTACATCACACAGAGCTTAAAAGCACGATTCTAAAAAACAATCACTACCCCCCTTTGGTTTTTTAAATCACAGAACAGCTTAAGAGCTGAGCAACTTACACAGAGGTGATAGCACTTAGATTTTCTGAGATCTTGACAATACTAAATATCTCATAACCTAATTCCTGAAGCAGAGAATCACAAGTGTCACCAGGCACAGAGGCCTCTTATGGTTTTAAACTATCCTCATTTATCTCTCCAGAGTGCCTTTCTTTATCACATTACTTGATACACTCACGTTTACAGTTCTGAGCTGCCCACTCTCCTCAGCCTTCTGTACTTGTCACAACACAGAGCAACTGCAGAAACCCTTTTTACCAAAAAGTCAGACTGGCAGGGAAAGTGTATCATATTGCGCAAGTATCTTCTCAACATCTACATTTAAACAGACGTCATTGGATCTTCAGTAAAGGCAGTTTTTACTTCAGAATAATAATGAACAACTTTTGTGAAGAATGTAAAGAGTGAATAGATTCAACACAATATCCCCGTGTAACTCCTTCAGGGATAAAACTACAACATTAATGCTTGCTACAACAGTATTGGCATATAGTCAACTGGCTCCATGAATAGGAAATAACATGATTTATTGCAAAGAGTAGATTTCAAACAGGTATTTAGAAGTCCAGTTTGTTATTATTTTATTTAAACAAAACGAGTTAAATGTTTTCATGCAACATTTGCACTTAAGTCTTAAATAATCATGACGAACAGCAGTAGTAGTTAAGGAATGCACTAATTATAGACCATAGCGAATATACAAAAAACTCAGCATTATAGGTTGTACAAAGTAAAGAACATCTTAAATACATTCCCAAAATACTGCAGCAGCCAGGACACAGTGATATGCCTTATAAGGGCATAGGAATGTAATTTAGAAATCACACAATAATTACCCATTTTCTTTAATTTCACAAACAAGACAAAAGCAACATTCAACTCCACACACTGATTTTTCAAATTATGTCTATGCAGTACCTTGAGTTTTATCCAAATAGTAAAAGTTAGACATGTTGTTTATTTAGTAAACAATTATGCAGTAAATCTCTATTACACTTCTTCCTTGGTTTTACCTGGAGTAGCCATGTTATTTAAAAGAGGGCAGGTTTGGCACTTTTATACTGATGTCACCAATATTAATATTTCTTGGGATCTCTGGCAGATTCATATTCTTTACAGCTGAAACAGCCCGGGCTGGAGCTCCTGCTAAACCAGCCTGTGTATAAAGTGAGGAAAAATGCAAGTCAGGCAATGTTGGTCACAAGAAGATTCACTAGCAATATATACGGACAACTAACTTTTGAAGTATTTCCATGGTTACACAATTAGAAAGACCAGATGGCAATTGTGTTTGGAATGAAATGGGTTATTTGGAAATAGTAAACCAGAAAGAGAAAACAGTTCACACATTCTTTTTAATATGGTAAAACATGTAATGTCAACTTGATGGAAAAGTATGTGGGGAGGAATAGGAGGCTTATCCAAGCGTGAGTAATGTGTAGGTTATAGAACAGACAATCCTGAGGTATTTAAAGTCCAATGCACTGTCTTTTTCTCTTACCTATTCTAAAAGTTGACAAGGTTCACAGATGACTAACATTGGTTATAGGTTCAGAATACGTAACATCAAAGTAACAAGTTACAGAATGTCAGTCGAACCATACTACTTATCTAAATGAATATATATATAAAAATACAAAAATATACATACATATATGTCTAAATATAAAAAGAAGGTATTTTAAGGTGGCTGAGCCTAAAATGAAAAGGATAAACACCTTGCATTTGTGGGTGATAAAGAACATACACAGATATAATTTCTATAGACGAACAGGAGTAATCTGTAATCCCACAGTATCTAATTATATGCTAACCTATCTGCAGCCTGCAGGCACAGTGGAACATTACCTAATAACCTGGTTACACGAAATTAAACACTGAAATACCTATTTGGTATTAAAGGCCTCTACTGTACGTAGTCTCTCTTAATTCAAACCCAGAGCCTTTCTGTATAAATATTCAAGTTTTGCAATACAGAAATAAGTTCATTACTGAGTTCCATTCAGTTCTGACTTTTAGATAAAATAACTGCCAAGTTTACACACTAGAGTATATTACTGAAATGCTAACAAAAATTATTTACAGCTCAAAGGTCTGAAGACTTACAGAATATGATCTTTCCCTATTGCTTCTGAAGAACAGTTCTTCAAAATGTTGTTACTTTAAGGGCTATTAAAAAAAAAGCCAATAACTGTTACTGTATTTGATGCTGTGTAGAAAAAGTACTATTCATTTTAAGTATGGAATTGTTTCCCCTAAAAATTTAGATTCTCTATGTGTATTTAGAATTAGCTATGTGGTTTTACCTCAGGCTTGCCACAAAAGTGTAAAAATCATTTTTGTTCTTGCTAGGAAAAAAAAAAGCCTGGAAGATTTTAAAAACAGAGCTCTTATTTGTGGAAAAATACATCATATTCCAAGTTCTGTGAATATGTAAAAAAAAAAAAAAAACAAAAAAAACCCCCACCTTTTTATTTTTATGTTTTAAAAGTAGGATTTAAAATATCCAAAGAGAATAAAAGCACAAAATTATTTTCAAAACTACTGCAGTTTTAGAGTGTGGCATCTTGCAGGCCCAGGAAAAAGGAGCAATTCACAAGAAAGAAAGCAACATGCCAAGAACTGGTTAAACAAAAGACTAAACCTGTAGAAATGGAAGGTGTTTCATCATAAGAGTGTCAAAGACTGAAGACACCATTGTATTTGCAGATAAAATGCAGCAAATAGAGCAAAACAAAAGAAGAAAAACTTCTGGAAAAGTTTGTGTTGTATTTGATTATTAAACAGTGGTTGGTAGGTAACTACTGCTCAAAGTATAACCTTTTCAGATTCTTGATTTTCACTGAAATTCATTGCAATTACAGAGAATAATTAGATGGAGGAGTATACCTGACTTCCCTGGTGTCCACCTGCACAACTGCACAAAAGGAGACACCCCATGTACTCCTCAGACAACACCTCTACTTTTGGAAGGTTGTCCAAAAAATATTGTCTCCCTTTTACTACTCCCTTATAAGAAATAAATGTAAGGCCAAATTAACATAAGATTTCCACTTAAAATCCTACCTACTGTTCTCCTCACTTCAAAAACATAATTTATAATCAAAATAAAACCAATTAAAGTTTCCAATTTTGAACTAACCCTTTTATATCATGTGGAAAGGCTAAAGAATCATAAATCCCTAAATTTTAGTCACAGAAGGATTCCCAGTACTAGGAACAGAGACCAGAAAGCCATGAGTCATGATCGAGCCATGACTCCCCCCTGCCAAACACTCATATATGAGACATGCCAAACTTGGGAAAGGCATGTGGAGGTACAGGAAAAAGCTTGGGAAATCTTAAATCTCTAATGCAACCAAGTAATTTGCCCTCACTTTGCCGCGGATATAATCACAATTATTGGTTCTCAGAAGTACTGACTAAGTAAAGCTAAAAAGGTGCAAGTTTTTTTGAAGTCTTTTTCCTTGGTTTCCCTTAACATTGCCAAGTCTATCTGATCACTCACTTCAGAGGTTGTTTCAATTCCAATACCTTCATGACAGGGAAAATCTGGACCTAATACTGGCAGTATTAAGAAATGCAAGTACCCAAAATCTGCATCCCTGAATCTGCAATATCTGAAAAGAGCAGTATTAGACACTGAAATTTCTTGCTATTTATTAAAAAACAGTGCAGAAGATATGAAGTTGCTCGACACTGTCCTTTTATATTTGAGAACCTGGAAACACTAATTAGAAATCAAGGGGTAACTACCAGTGAAGTTTTATCAGATAAAACAATAAAACATTTCCTTTTTATTTGGTTCTATCTTTAAATTCTATATTCAGTAATTGGGGAAACATTCTTGAAGCAAAACCAAAAGTGGGCAATGTAAACTGTTTTCCATAGAAAGGATGAAAATACTAATAAAGTGGTAACAAAAGCAATGAATTATACAATTTTTAACTGAAACAATGGGAAACCAGAAAAATATTGTAAGTGATGGACATGGTCCACACAAACAGGCATGGCTGGCAATTCAAAAGGGAGATGCTTTCTAGGTGACTAGGATGGAGATTCCTTACCCTAACATAATGAAAGTTAATTATTCTTAATGGACAAATAAAAGTTTTAGTATAACTGGTCATTATTTTTACCTACCTGCAGCTATCCTCTTTACACAGACTTACAGTCCCTGCCTCCCGCCCCAATGGCATAGGATACAATGGAGACACAATTGAGAATTATTTAAAATACCACAATTGACATGACCATTGCCCTTCCACCCCCCTACACAGTCACAACTTCCAACCATGAGGACCATTCTGGATCAGGATCAGCAAAGATCCCTGACAAAAGTACTATGAATTTCAGATTACCTCTTTTTTTGAAAGTGAGATTGTCTTTCACTATCATATGGTGGAGTAGAGAATTTCAAACTACTACGTTCTTTTCTCCTGCAATTCTCTATATTAAGTGGGTTTGTAATTCAATGTATACATAAAATGCATAGCAGAATGCATCAACCCTATCAAGCACAATACAGTCATACAGTATTCCTAAGAGAGAGCAAACAATTAATAAAAAACATCTAATGGATAAAATGACCGAAGAGTACTTAAACTCCCAAAGTGGATTAACTAATACAATGTTTCAAATGCTATTATAACCAAATGCCTTAGCATTCCTTTTTAGCATGTCAAACAGTGAACTAGTATGCAGTCCTTCCATTTATTTATAATTTATTTTACAGGAAGTGAACTGTATTTACAAACACAAAGGTACTACAAGAAGTATTTCCAGCCCAGTATGTGTTTTAAGCAGTTTTCCAGAGGTACCTGATTAAAAGAGCCATCACTGTAACATTGAACTGGCCAAGTTTCAACGGCCTTTTTTATCAAATAATTCAGCCAATAAGTTGGTGTGAGGTGCAAAGAAAAAACTGTTTCACTTGAAAAATGAACAAAACACGTAGCAAGCTTTAAACATGCAGTGAACGATGAATCGCCTGTCACAGCGAGCAAATGATTTAAGCAAGTGAAAATGAATCTTCTTAAGACATATTAATGAAATTTCAGAAATACAGTGCAAATTGCATACAGCTGGTATTACAATAAGCCAATAGAGCATATTTTTGCCACAGCTGCTTTGTATTCTCAATTTCATTTGTTATTGAAGGTTATACTTTAATACTGAAATGGTGTATATTAAAATTGTATCACTTACTGCAAAAAATGCTTGTCATATACTTTCAGAGTGAAAGAGCAATGCAAAACAATAATGCTATTTTAGAGACTGGAATAGACACATTTAATAACCGAACTTCTATTCTACTGGTCTTAGTCTATCAAGTAAGAAAGATGAGCTGCTGTTAGTTTACTCAGGTCATTATTTATCACTACAGGAATCAATTTTCTTCATTCTTATAAGCATCCTTTCTCATAATGCCCCACTGAGAACTTTGTAGAAAAGTGCTCCCACAAACATTGTTTTACTCTTTAAAAAGAAATTCAGATCATTTGGAAAAAGTATTGTGCATTGCAAATGCAGTTAATATGCATATACATATATATAAAAAAAGATTCAAATCACCAATTCAAACAACTCTACACAATGCTAGCTACTACTGAAATAAGCATATTAAAATATACAGCCTACTGGAAAACAAAATAATGAAGGTTAACGCTTTGCAAAATAAGCCCCCCTTTTCCAGATATTTCGGAGGTACTGGGACCTCTCTGCTGCTGGTGTTTCATACCAGTGCTTCTTTCCAAAACAAGTACGACTTTCAAAGCAGCAGGGTTATGAAGTTATGAATGGATGCAATACATAATATAAAGAAATGATCATGTTCCCTGCTTATGAAGTTAAATAAATGAACATAATTAGAGAAAAAACAAAATGAAGTCTGCAAGTATATCAAAATGAGGCCAAACAGATAAGAAGACTTAAGACATACTCTTAGAAATTTTAAGCACTTGAATCACAAAGAGAGTAATGGATGGGAATGATCAATTATTTGTTTGTTTGTTTTTCATTGCCAGACCCAAAAATAAAAACAGAACATGTGTGAGCAGAACAGCAAAAAAGAAAAGTAGCTTTGCACAAATAAAAAAAACCAAACCTGAAAGCAAGCTCCCTATTGTTACAATGAAATACAGATTATATATTACAAGTGTTGACATATTAGGCAGAGGAAGGTCATTTGCTTGATTTTCATGTGCCATAAAATACTTCAAATTTATGTAAAATGTTTCATACTACCCAAAAGTATTTTTAGCTAATGCTTTAAAACTTCATGCTACTAAATCCAATTACAGAATTATAGTTGTTAAATCTTAAAGGTATTACATTACTTTATACTCAAAAGATACTATAAAAAGTAAAGCACAAAGCTATTCATAAATTAAACAAACTTCGTCTGCTTAAGATTCCAGCTACTTAAAATACCTGCAGTTTGAATACACAGATACTTAAAATGAGTGGAAATGAATTTTGAAGTACAGCAACTAACATTGACTGACACTGAAACTGTTGAGCTGAACTAAATGTTTCAAAGAGCAAATGATAGGGGACAATGACCATAAACTGAACTTCAAACATACATTTTCCTCCTCCTTTTTCAGTTCCTTGTTAATATTCATGTTCTGTGACTGCAGTTACCAAGATATCTTAAAGCAAAATCCAGTGATTCAGATTGCAAGGGCAGCAAATGTAATCTGAAAGTGAGTACATGCTGACTGCCCTTCTCATTTTATGTTTGACATACTTAAGGTCAAAAGATCAACTTTGGTATTTTTACATCATCTTAATAAATTGCACTGATAATTTTATTCTGTATGTATAAAACTATTTGAGGTTGTTGGTTTTGGTGGTTTTGTTAACCTGAAATTTATTCTGAAACTTCTCTCTCCAAGAAGTATTTTCATTTGGAAATACTGAATGGTGAAATGTAAGAGTTCATACCATCTATTTTGGATTATCAGATACAAAATTATCCTAATAATGAAGCTATTTCTATTACATTATCATATTTCGTTATCTGTGTGTTCAATTTTTATTCAAATTAGTTTTGCATTTTTTTTAAATATTCATAAAAGTTCATATTCCTTTGTTTCTTAAACAATGATACAAAGAAAAGTTAAATTCTAAAATGCGAGAAAAAAAAATATGATGTCAATGGAAAGCTAGTAAAAAACACTACAGCCAATAAAAAGATGAGGGAACTACAAGAAGAAACTAGCACAAAAAGTAGGCTACAAGGACTAGTATGGTTATTTTTACACATAATTTTTGAGTCTGGCCTACATAATTTATTGCCTTTGACATCATTTTGCTTTCCCTTTTTGTTAAAAGTACATTTTTTCTAAAAGTCAGCAATACCTTTGTCTACCTGTCCTGTCTGGGAGACTGAAAGATAAAGGTCTGAAAGAGAGAAGAACGGAAAGAGCTAGAAAAGATCAGGAGGTTCAGTAAAAATGAGGCCCAACTTAAAAGTCTAAATCACACGCAGTTGAACACTCCAAATGGAGAAGAGGTAGCCCAGGTTTACCTACAATACTTCCAGAGGCTCTGGATAAAATCCCGATGACCCCTCTCCCAAAAATTCCTTCCCTTAATCACAATCATCCCTTGGCTTTAGAAGGATTGACGAGAAATCCATTCACAGATAAACACTAAACTGAAAGGTAGGGAAATGCATTAAAGACAACATTTCTCAGGGTAGAAACAGAATTTCCTTTGTAGCCCATCCAAGCAATTTAAGAGCTGAATCAGAAAGCAAAGCTAGGGACTCCCCCTCATAGTGGCTTAAATAATTAAAATGTGTTGAAAGCATTAATAAATTCTTAGAGTTTATAACTTTGCTCAAATATTTGTGAATTTAACAAATACATTTGATCTTCTTCACTGAACTCTAACTGAAAGCCTGTTTAGAAACCTAGTCTAAGCATATATAATAACTAAACCTAATGTCTAATGGCTAAAATTTGTATAGTAAGGGAAGCCAGGTGGGCACAATAAAAAATTTAAAATATTTCTGAAAATGTAGCTCAGTTACAATTTCATTAGCTTCATCATTTCAGCTATAAGGAAAAGGCAATTTAACCTTAAAAGCAGCTATTTTATGGATGCAAGAACTATGATGGAGGTCTAACAAGCCAAACAAACTAAAGCAAGAGTGCTGTGGCATAGGTGGCAGTCCTATGAACTACAGACTATGTCAACAGTAACTTCGAAATTTTAAAAATAGTTTTTTTAAATTAAAGAAAACTAAGAAGATCCACCAGTTTTGATTTCTTAGTGACCATGACCATCATTCAAAAATATGATTAAGTTATTGCTTATTTTGATTTACATGAACTGGATTTGCTTGAAAATACATGTTCAGGAAAGACAGGTTTAAAATATTTATAATCTTGATCAAAAAAGCAAAAGGAAAAGAAATAGCAATCAGAAAATTTCTGTGGATATACATGAAACAAACCATTAATTATTTTAGGAAATAGCTGCCAGGTATGGTGAAGTATCTCAGCATTACAGTAACTGTTAAATTTGACAAGAAACAGCCACTGAACTCACAAAAATAAAAGCATTTGTAGTGAGCAGACTGAAGTGTTCTACTCCATATCCCAGTCACTAAGTGTTTTCATTTATCACTGCTACTTCTTTACCTTCTATAATTTGTTGCTGAATGCGCAGGAACAAGTTGCTATTTCCCTTGCATATGCTCTGAGCTCCACAATTTATTTTATATCTTCTACCACCTATTTTTATACTAAAAGCATCTTGAAAGAATGACTTACTGATGAATAATGGAAAACGGCAAGTATTGCAGCTGGCTGCACTGAATTGATGTGTTTTGGATAACTAGTCAGGGACTGGTCTACAGGTGATTTGGTAAGAGAATTCACATAATTAAGAATGAATACCTTAATTAAATGCTTTTAGGTAAAATGGATATGCACATAATACACGGTAGAACATAGCTGCTCAGTAAGTTCAGGTTTTGGGACACTATGTTAGATTTCCATCAAATAAAGAAAAACACATGTAGACAAAAGTAATTCAAATACAGTAAAATTTTATGAGAATAATTCCAAATATTCATCTCTGTGATCAACGGCTCATTCTGAGTTTGAGAAAAATGTTAAAATGAACATTTTGGACATCATAATCTACAATACAATCCTTCTGGATGTATATTGCTGTGCACGGTATCATATCAGACCTAGCCTTTTCCTGTTTTTCACACAACATTGTCCTGTTCTTGGATACAGTTTGGAAGTTGTGCAAAACAGACAACTACATGTATTAAGAGATGACGTGGTGCAGTGTGAGACTGCAGAATAGGGAGAACAATATACATTGTGGTTGGCAACCCTGCCCAGTGGTTGGCAACCCTGCCCACAGCAGGGGGTTGAGACTAGATGATCTCTAAGGTCTTTTCAACCCAGACCATTCTATGATTCTATGATTGTACCACAAAAAAGCTGAAGAATTCACTTCTCTCTTGTCACACTTAAATTAAAACTCGAAGTTCTCTGGGTCTTCTCCTAAAACGTCATTTAGTTCATATTTATGCCACCTGCAGCATTTCAATCTACTCAGATGACTTCAACTTTAGAAACAGTCTCCAATACAAGCAAAGGTTTTTTTAGAAATATTAATATTATGTTTCAAAAATCAGATTATGTGTTCTTCTGTGGAATTACTCTCATCAATAAGAATCAATCACAGACTTAGCTGAGATGTACTAGGAGTAGTCTGGCTTACAAGATATGTCAGGTGATGTTAAAGGACCAGTAATATTTTGTGTCATAGCTGAAGTAATTCTAAAATACTTTCTAAGTCTAAGTTTCTTGCCTAAACACAAATTCAACAATTGTTGAATTGAAAAGGGATTCCCACAACTTATGTGAGTATCCCTCACTCAGACTGTTACAGGCATACACAGAATATCACTTTCTCACTTGAATCTACTCAACTGAAGACTAAATGTTCAGATTACCAAAAGGGCAGAATTTGTATTTACTTTAAAGGGTCTAAAACTGGGCTTTAAATTCTATTCAGTACATTTCAGTTGAAGTCATTATTTTGTGTTGCAGTATTATTGTGACACTAAATTTGCTGCCATCTATTTCAGGTGCTAGACACATACTAACAGACAGGACTATGTAGTCTTTGTATACACACTTTAGTTCTTTATCTGATTTCATTTAAGTGTTATAGTCACTAGTCCAGCATAATAAATACACTGGAAATGAAATGCTTTCTGCAAGAGAAACTTCAAGAACTATAGAAGTATCTCAATAACAATGGCAAACAATGCTATTAGACATAAACAGCAAAAACTAATCAGCAGCGATGCTAAGCAATTATTACTTATGATGAAAGGCACAACATCCTAACCTAACAATACATCATCAATTTTTAGATTTATAAGCAAGCAGCTGATTATAGTTGCTATTGAGGGACAAGCAGCATTATATAGTATGAATTTACTACAGCCTTGTTTTTAGTCTAGAAACTACACAATGCGTCACTCTTACCTCAGATTTCTCCAGTTTATTTTGAGCATCAATCTGAGTGACAATTTCATTCATGTTGGTCTCCAAAACCATTCCACCCATGACCATTTCGGCCAGTATATTATGGACCTAAAAAGACCAAAAGAAAATTTAAAAATGCAAAATGTCCTACATGCATCTGGACTGATGATACCTAGATTAATCAATACAGGAACACATATATTCTATAAGTCACTTAATTAATGTTAGCAATTTTATCTAAAACCATTTGGGAACAAAGCCCATAACTTCTTGTTATTGTTCATTTCTCCAGTATCTTTGCTCATAATTGTCTTACAAACTCATCAGCTACACCACTTTGCTTATCAATGCTAGAAGCAACTTTCACATTCATCCTTCTTTCAGTACTTGTTTTCTATCCATGGACTATGGACCAGAGTTCTAATTAGCACTGTCTAGATTTCATCTGGGACAGAGTTAACTTTCTTCATAGTAGCTACTGTGAGGCTGTGTTTTGGACTTGTGCTGAGAAGGCAGCTGATAACATACTGATGTTTATAGTTGCTGTCAGAACCCCCCAGCCAGGGGTAAAACCATAACAAGCTTCAGTAGTAGTAACACCTCTAAGAAGCTGGTTCCACAAGATTAAAAAAATTGCTCACAAATAGATGTGTAAAAACTACTTTGGGCTACATCTATGAAGGAAGAGAGACATAGTGATGCTCACACACCATGGGTACCAAGACTAGATTTAGAAGTAGAATTAACATATCTGAGCTGACCCGTACCTGAGCTATACCATGAACAGGGAGTCTTCAGAACCTAGGACTAAGAATGACAGCTAGGACTCAAACTGAAGGATTACATAAACCAGACAGGGACATTAATGAAATGGGTATGTCTAAAATCCCTCTTTCCTGCAACCTTTATTCGGGGATACAAGCCCTGGTTCACGAATTTCTGCTTCAGAGTGTCTATTTGCACATTATCTTAAAACTTGCTTTTTTTTTTTTAAAAAAAGGCATGCTTCTACATACATTCTAGTAAAAAAATGAGTTAATATGTAATGTATAATATTTTGATCCAATTATAATTCTGAAGACAAGGAACATTTTATTACTTTTCTGAAATAGACACATTGTACAATCTGATACTTCAAAGCATAGTTCTGCTATTATTTTGGATATTCTTGCAATTTTCCTGTGGACCAAGGATAGAGGTAAATCTTTAAATCAAACAATTCTAAGCAAGCAGTATATAAAAAAAACACCATACTTTCCGTTTTTGTGCCATACCTCCAAAACAAAATTGAAGAGCTGTTTCGCTGATAAATCATTAGCATATTTCAGTAGAAACTTACAATGAATGTGTTTAGAGAGCTTGAAAACAGCTCCTCCTCCCTGCCTGCTGCTGCTGAGTAGAGCTTTTAGAATCAAATACTTACAAGAAAGATTGACAACCCTTACTGAGCCACTCTCTGACTCCTGGCATATATATGTGTCCCTTGTAATATACTAAGCTAAAAAGCATAATTTATAAAAGTGGTGCCAAAGAATTAATTCTCCTGGCTTCTTATCAAGTGCATTTAAAAGCCTTTTAGCATCACAATCAGAAAAAAAAAGATAAAAACATGGTAATCTAACATTAATTTACTCTACACTGACAATCCAAATGCACTGAAAAACATCATCAGTATTTACTTCTTTTTACTGAAAACTTATTTGCATGCACAGCATAAGGAAAAGTTTATAGCTGTACCCAAATAGGAGTTAGTAAATACATTGTACGGGCTACCTGAAATACTAAACCCAAAAACCTTACATAAATTTGCATTTGGTTACAAATTTGCAATTAATTATTTCACAGACACCTGATGAAAGATAAAATGTATTTAATCAATGGAAAAAATACTGATTTTTCAGGCAATTCTCTATTTTACTCATATGGAAGGCTTGATAATATAAGGTGATGATGCAAAATGTTGACTTAAGATGTTGTTAATATCAAAAAGAAAATATCAAAGATGTTAATATGGAAACTATTGTTAAAAAAGAACATTAAAATAGACACAAAAATTGGTTTTTTTTTCCCTTAGTCAAAAAGTTAACAATAACCACTAGCAGCATTCAGAAGACAGCACATCTCCACCAGTGGTGATGGTCATAAAGACTGCCACTTTAAAGATGTCTGGCTAAAGATGATATAGAATGAGAGTTTCAGCCAACGAATGCAATATTAGGTTTGATAATTCATTAGGGAAGAGATGGTACAAAAAATGAATTTTAGAAGTAGACAGATTTGGAGCTTCATCACAATCACACTCAATTCCAAGATCAGTGATGTTTTTAAGCTTCTGCACAGGTTTATCTGTCCTTCTTTACTACTCTACAACTTCTAAGCCATGTGGGATTCTCCTCGCAACCTAAAGACTTGATATTACAATGTGCATAGCCATGAAAAACGGAACACAAAAACTACAAAGGTCTTCAAAACATAGTATTTATCTGGTGATTTTGGTTATATTTTATTTTATCAAGAATTTACTAACCAAGTATTTTCCACATGCTACTAAATGTAGGGTTTTTTTCTTTTCTGGTTTCTGAATGGGCATTATACAGACATACAGAAGGACTAATAAACAATTCATGTCTCCCTACACAAGCGGAAAATTTTCTGGCTAGTATTATCTAATCTGAGAGTTTATTATGAAGTGTTTTTTTCTTTTCCATCTCTCAAAAAAATATAGCATAATAGTGCAAATACCATCACTTCCTACAGCAGATTATAGATTTGAATTTTATTTTCTTTTTAAAAATGCACCTGGCTCCAAAACAGCAACTGCAGTCATCATCACCTCCAGATTTTAAGGGAATTTTCTCACTTTGCTCTTTCTGGCAGAGCTTGATGTCAAGGAAGAAATTCCAGCTGTTACTTTAGCCTCAACTAATAGCCCCAAAATTCACTAACTATTCACTTTAAAGTCAAAAGAATATTCCCACTGTTGAAGAATACATTTTAATTTGTGGAGGATGCCTGAAACTGCATTTATTAAGCACTCAAGAGACCAAATTCCAGCCTACATCTTGGAGAAGAAAAGGAATTTAATTCAATTTCCTCTTAACATTCTTGAAATCTTTGGTAAGTTCTAGAATTTGGCCTTTCTTTTAAAGCACAGGAATAATTCATATGTATTTCTGACTGAAGAGGCAAGAAATGACATCTCAGTAAATTCCTGCTTACTTTGCCCTTACTGAGCAGAGAACATTACAGAACAAGTTGTGGAAGTCTAGCAGGACAGAACAAAAGAATGTAAAAGAGTAGGTCTTCTTCAAGTAGGTCTTGATGTTTACGGATTATTAATTTCTGTTTTAAAAGAAAACAAAAAATAATGAACGATGTTTTTACAAAAAAAAAACAAACCTCTTTTCTCAGGTAATCTCTTTCTAACTGCTTACCGATATGAAATACTGATACACTGAAGCTCTATAATTACAGGATGAACTCCATATGAAACTTACACCACCATGACTGAAAAGATTGAGGATTTGATTAAGTTTTCACAAGCGTTCTTGTTTCTCTGAAAGAGATTCTAAGGTGCATTTAAGAAGAATTGTAAATAAATTATGTTTGTTTTGGTAGCTGTTTCCCCCCTCCCTGCCAGTAGGAAAAGGTAAGCAATTACAGTCCTGTCAACACCACTCATAACAGAAATAATTTTTTCCTCTAGAGTGCTACTCAGGTAAATATATAATGTATTAGACTATATCTAGAACATTGTGCCCAATTTCAGGCCTACCAGTGCAAGAAAGACATCAACAAGTTGGAGTGGGTTCAGCGGAGTGCCACCAAAATGGTTGGGGCTAGTGCATTCATCCTGGGCAGAGGCTGCAGCACCAGGGCTGGTTCAGCTTGGACAAGGAGGGGCTTGGGGGCACCTACAAGCAACTGCAGTGCTTACAAGGTACTGTTCGGGAGCTGGGCACTTCTCAGCAGGGCAGCATGAGAGCGCAAGGGACAGGAGAGGCTGGGACTGGCTGTAAGGAAACCTTTCACCAGGAGCACAGGTGAGCTGTGGGACAGGCTGCCCGGGAGCTGTGCAAGCTCCCTCCCTCCCTCCTTCCCTCCCTCCCATTTCTTGCCTCTTCAGTATCAAAAGGTACTTCATGACACGGACAGTGTTTCACTAGTAAAAAACCACATGCTTCAGAGCCAGAAACTTGATCTAACCACTACTAACCACTATAGGCAGCAAATCCAAATTTCTGGAAAAAGCCAGACACAGAGAATTACAGACAATTTAAGTGTAATGTCACCAACAGTAACTGCACCAAAAATGTCTGTGTGTATATATATATATATATAT